CCTCCACCCACAGTCATGCAGTTTAAGGTCCAGCCTGGGTTCAGTCCTAGTGTTATGCTGTAGCTGTCTCTAGTTCTGCCATAGCTATGCCTGGTCGTAGAACTTAATGGCCCTGATCTGTGCACTAACTTCCCAGCTTGATTTAGTCGCTTCCTTTTCACTATGGACTTCTCTGGTGGTTGCTGGGCTGTGTCTTCAGCAGCACTTGTTTTTAGTTCATCCTTTTGGTGAATTCAGCAAGGGGTCAATTGAAACCTCTGGGCAAACTCTCACGGGGTTTCAGTTCAAGCCTTTCCGTGCCAAACTCTGCACTTGCCTTTGCATCCTATTGATTATGAGCCCCATTAAGGGACTTGCCATTTATTAGTGGGTTGGGGTCTCCGTGGGAGATGCTGTCTCTACTTCTACTGCTCAACATGGAGCAAATCAGCTCTGGACGTGCTGGCTGTTAGTCCCAAGGCCAGAAGCAGATGCTCCCTGTCATGAGTATCTGAGGGTGTCTTGCTCTGAAGGTTGCTTGTTTCCCCGTATGACCCTGTCATTATCTCTAAGTTCTAGTGTTAGGTGGAAGCAGATTATTTTGCTGCATGACAAGTACTTGCATCTTTCTTGGAAGCTGGGTAATTAAAGTCCATGTGGATGTGACACCTTATTTACTGCTGTAGTTCCACATTCACATCTACAGAGGGGACTGAGATGACACTGCTGTTGTGTATTGCCAAGTAGGAGGCAGCTGCATGACGTTCTCCGTGCTGGAGACATGGGCTCAGGTTGTTGCGTTCCAATTGAAACGGAAAAGCTGACAAATCTTTCCTCTTCACAGCAGCTTTAAACTCATTAAAGGCTGCAATTAGAACTAATGCTTTTCCCAAGGCCCCCTGGTGATTTAAGGTGGTTCTCCTGGGCAGCAGCCACTATTTGAACTAATACTCACAGGCACGCAGCCAGCTCTGAGGCAACCAGCAGAAAGCAGTGGAGTTTGGAGTGAGAACATCAAGGGCTCAGGTGCTTGTCTGATCTCTCAATACCTTGCCACTACTCAGAGGGAGTCTGTGTGCTGAGAGGCACAGGGGTTTAGGGATATGTGAGGGACTGCAGCCCTCAGAAGGGCTCAGGCCGTGTGGGTCACAGACCAAGGCTACCAGCAGTGTCCTATGCGTGGATGCAGGCAAATAACCTGAAGCCCTTGCAAATACACAGCAGGTCCCAGTTTCAGTTGAGCTCCTCCTAAAGCAATTAACCTCCAAGGAAATTCCAGTCTGGCACACAACCATTGACAAGTTGCCAGGCTTGTGGTGTAGCCAACTTTTAACTGAGTGTGTGGGCATTTATCGCCTGTGGGAAAGGTAAGGTGAAATGGGTGCGTGGTTGAAACAGCTACATTTCACTGCAGTCTGCAGAGTATCTGCAAACCCATCCTCTTGTGTACACATTCATAGCTTGGAACATGCCTGCTTTGTATCACTGAACTGCCAGCTGATAAAGGTCCTTTCCTCCAGGTTTAGTGAAGCTGGGGGTAAGAATGGTAATCACAAGGTGGTAAAGCTGTTACTGGCCCCTTTTTCTCCTAGTTATACCAGTGTAAAACTGCTGCGTGTCCCTTTCTCTGGCCAAAAGTGCCATAAAAATCAGCAGTCAGACTGCTCAAAGGGCAAATCAGTTTGCTTCCCAGTAAACCCTGCAGATGCAACCTGTTCTCCAGGCTCTTGTGACCCCTTTTAGAAACAACAACTCCTCACAGAGCTTATTGCCTCTTTGCAAATGAAGGAACAAAGCTCAAGAGGACAAACCCAGTATTCTGCTTGCCACTGGGGCAGCGGTAATGACATGTAAGGTCTTGAATACATGAAGAACTTTATCATCATGCTCAAGAGCCTTCTCTTCCTGGACTTTAGCTCCCTGTGGCAGACGCTCAGTGGAGGTGGATTGCTGAAACACGTAAGAGTCTGCTTGACGTGCCCCATGTTCAGATGATGTGAAAATTGCAGGAGGAATATGGACATTAGCTGATTTTTTCCCCCCAGAGCCAATATGTGTCTCACTGATGTGAAGGGAATGTTGCAAGGGTCTCAATGATTCGATTTAAGCTGATCCATCAGTCTCATTATCTGTGTGTGCAGCTGGGTTTGGGCATCTTGTTGCTTCAAAGGCTGAGGTATCTTAGGAAAAAGGGATGGCACAAACATATAGAAATTCCTGTAGGGGAAGGAAAACCTTGGGAGAGGAAAGGACAAATGACTCACAATTAGCTTGTGGAAACTGCAGGATGCATGAAATCCTGACCCCATTTGCGTCACTTTGCCGTTAACTCCAGTAAGTCAGGTAGCTGTAGAGTACAAATCCCTTCCAGTCACTGTAGCAGAGCGTGCAAAGCTGACCTTTGATCCTTGCTTATACAAGCCTAAACTGTCCTTTGCCACAGTTACTGCAGCTGACCTGCAAAAGCACTCTCTGCAAGTGCTGACCGTATTTTTAGCTGATCTTGCATGTGACTCATTAGGGAGAAATGAGGAAAGACAATCACATGGGAATTCCCAGCTCTCTCCACAACACTATAGATCACCGCAGCTGCAAGAGTCCAAGAGACAAGAAGAAAGGGAGGCATGTCCTCTGCTCAGATGTACCCTGCCAACAGGGGATGTGCCTGCAATCTAATGAACAACAACTGGGTAAAAAGGCCACTGAGCAGACATGGGCCATGGCTGTACCTGATCGCACTTAGTGTGCCGAAAGAGGCGCGTTATTCAGCCACTCCTACATTTTGATCTGTCCTTGGCTAACCTGTTGTAGTCAGAATTCCCTGTGGTCCTATTTTTTGGAGCGGTTGAAATCAGGGGAGGATAAGTGCTTCTTGCGCATGGCATTCCTCTATAACCTACCAGTGGTTCTCCAGACAAAGAGTACACTGAGATAACAGGCAAAAAGTTGGGTACAGCCTCAACAAAGGTTCTGGCTAGACACTCCTCTTGCTTCAGGCTGAAGAGACACCCATTTGTAGCTTATCAGCCTGACATTCATGTATGGTTAGCAGCAGGAGCTGGCTAGGCTATGAAGTAGAGCTTCAAGTGTTAATGACCACGTTGTTTCTAGTTAAGTGTATGAAAAAGAGACACTAATACGCTCAGGAGGAGAATAAAAGGTTTCATAGTACAGGGTTAATCTGCTGGCCCAAGGCACTGCTTGCAGAGCTTACACTCTTTGGAGTCTTTCAATGCTGTATCGCTCACTGCCTGCTTTCAGCGTGCAGACTGGGTGCATTTGAATGCTCCATCCCTGGCAGTGTTCAGGTTGGACGGAGGCTTGGGTGACATGGTCTAGTGCAAGGTGTCCCTGACCATGGCAGGGGGTTGGAACTGGATGATCTTAAGGTCCTTTCCAGCCCAAACCATTCTGTGATTCTACGATTCAGTTCTGCAGGTGTTTTTGAGCAGAAGGATAACAGAAAGCCAAGAGCCGGGCTCTGTCCACTGGAATTAGTCAAGATTCAGAGGCATCTTCATTCAGGACCTCATCAGAACAGCTTGTTACCAGCTCTGTTTGCTGCTCCAGTCACTGGGAAGAATAATATGAGGAGCCATAAAACACACTCGATTTTAGCTCACAGTGGGGATAACTTGATTTAATAGGGGACACAGCTTCTAAATTAAGATTTCTGCTCACCACTGAAAGCAAAGAGTAGCATTTTTAGCAGAGAGAAAGGCATGTATACTGTCAGAGAACTGTCAGAGAGTGGCCATGGTCTGTGTTTGTCATAGGTGGCCATAGAAAGAACGTAAGTCTCTCAAATAACCACACATGCCAGAAACATCACCACGTTCCAGGCAGGCAAACAAGGAGCCTTAAACAGAGCTAAAGAGAGCTCCTTAAGTAGCCAAGCCACAAGTCCAAGCCATTGGCCTTCACCCATTCTAGTACAATTCCAACATCACCCACCCACACAAGCTGAAACTGCCTCATATTGGTGTCAACCTGTGTGGAGAGTCTCACCTTCCACTGTCATTAGCTCATGGTGAGAAAGTAGAAGGTAAAGATGTGGCCATCCAACAGAGAGAAGCCAGCTGACTTCTCCTTATCAGATGCCTGCAGGGCAAGTCTTCAAATGAAGGAAAAATACTAACCCTACAGGACTTCCTTCTCTACACAGACACTTGAGATGGAAACTGGGCTTACCTTTACACTCCAGTATGAGTGCAGGTCTGAGATAGGGCTGTCACATCATTAAGAACAGGAACGAAGTCTTATCTCTGCTTCTAGTTTAGGCCAATAATACTGTGCTGAGAGAAAGAGGATATTTCCCAGGGAATACATTTGAAATATTCCCCAGGGAATATACGTGGAATGTTTGCCTTTCCAAGCCAACTATTTGGCTCTTAAACTGGGGATAGTTTCCATCTATTCAGCTCATGGAAATGAAGAAGTAAAAATGTTTAGGCACCAGCCTGAACCCTCCGTGTCAAAGTTCACTTTTAAGAGCCGGTGATGGTGGCTGTTGGCTCAGGTTAAGATCTGTGCCCTGAGAGTTGTGCTCAGATTCTCAAATAGGAAAACCTGACCTTTCTTTCCACAGAAACCATTGAGTTACACATTGCTAAGGGGTTTGCCAAGGTAATTTAGAGACAGCAGTATCTTCTCTCCGCTGTTAAGCTCAATACAGTGGTTTGCTGAATGGACTGTGCTGGGAATTAATTCTCCCCTAATTTGCCTCTCTTCAAACCACTCAGAACAGAACTGCCCAGGACAATCCTACCTGCTGCGTCCTAGCTCAGTTTTGACTGCATCAAGTGATGAAGTCCTTTGCACTTTATGCTCCCATCCCATTCCTGCTAACGTGGTAATTTCTCATTGCAGGTAAATCATCTCACCTTGAGGTGTCTTCAGAGCCTCCTCTCACCTCAGACATAGCAAACCTTCTACAGAAGAACCCACCTGGTGAGATAAAGCCTGAAACAAGCTCTGCATCCTCACAGCCAACCAGTCTATAGTAAAGGCAAGGACCTCACCTGTTTCAGTTTCGTTCCCACCATGGAAGCACTGCTGTCAAGCACAAATACAACGTTCTTGGGCAATGGAGGAAGATCTGTGGGGGCGAAGTAGTGCACGAAATACCCATTAAGAATCTGTGGAAGAGCAAGGAAGTCAGGAAAGGAAGGTAGATGCAGTGTTCCACACACATCATTATGAGATATTTGGTTGGGCACCCCTGATCCTGCTTTCAGTGTCTGTGTCTACACTGGTGAATATTAGTGCTCCTTGGTACCTCTGATCTCCTGCTTATCCATACTGGGGAGCCTACTGGAGCTCCATGGTGGACACTGGGGTTTCGTTCCAGATGTAGTAAGGTTATAATGTATGTACCCAGCGATCAGAACTGCAACACGCATCTGAGGAGCTGGCCTTGTATCCAGATACATACAGCCAGTATATTGATAAACTTAAAAGCAGATACAAGAAAAACCCCAATGAAGTAGGTGGCTCTGGCTTCTAAGTCCATCTTGTGGATGCCAACTGACTGGTTTATTTTGGATAGTTCTTGCAGATGGAGAAGTAATGGGAAACATTTTCTAGGACATTTGGAAGGTGATTGAACCTCCTCAGGTATAGGTAATCAAACAGGAAAGATGCATCATGTGTGCAGTACCTGAACGTCCCCAACACTCAGCTCCCTGTTGACATCGTATCTAATGATGAAGTCTCCCAAAATGCCATTTCGGGCGATCCTGGTTTGCTCAACAACACTGGGATTGAATGTCACTTTAGCCAAGGTTTTCGTATGTCCAATTACAGTAGAAGGAGGAGGAGAAACATCACCTGTGGAGATAAAATCACAATATTGCAAGGTGTTCCCGTTGTCCTACGGATGTCTAAGTAAAACACACATGGAATTACCATGGAGTCAGGTCAACAAGCATAGTTACGTACTGAGGTTAAAGATTGCGTGGAGACCTCAGAGAAGCCTTCTGGTATCTGAAGGGGGGCTATAGGGATGATGGGGAGGGACTCTTCATTAGAGACTGCAGTGATAGGACAAGGGGTAATGGGTTCAAACTCAAACAGGGGAAGTTTAGACTGGATATAAGGAGGAAATTCTTTCCTGTGAGGGTGGTGAGGCACTGGAATGGGTTGCCCAGGGAGGCTGTGAATGCTCCATCCCTGGCAGTGTTCAAGGGCAGGTTGGACGCAGCCTTGGGTGCCATGGTTTAGTGTGAGGTGTCCCTGCTCATGGCAGGGGGGTTGGAACTGGATGATCTTAAGGTCCTTTCCAACCCTAACTGTTGTATGATTCTGTTAAAGACAGTGATCTCATAGCAGCCTTCCAGTATCTGGAGAAGGCCTACAAGATGCTGGAAAGGGACTCTTCATCAGGGACTGTGGTGACAGGACAAGGGGTGATGGGTTCAAACTGAAACAGGGGAAGTTCAGGTTAGATATAAGGAAGAAGTTCTTTACTGTGAGGGTGCTGAGGCACTGGCAGAGGGTGCCCAGAGAAGTGGCAAGCACTCCATCCCTGGCAGTGTTCAAGGCCAGACTGGGTGACATGGTTCAGTGTGAGGCATCCCTGCCCATGGCAAGGGACTGAAACTGGATGATCTTAAGGTCCCTTCCAACCCAAACCATTCTGTGATTCAGCTCACCAGTGAAAGAAGAAGAACTTAATAACCCCTCTCCTCTAAGCCTAAACTGAAACCAACATTGCAGTGCTATCAAAAACATGAATATTTAGGCAAAATTCGTGTGCTCACTCCTGTTTGCAGGTCACTGAACTCAAAGACCAGATACTCTCTGTGGGACTGGGAATTGCTTTCTGTAACTGATAAACACACAGCTTCTGACACGTGCGTGGTACATACTCCAGTCGACTCCAGGCATCTAGAATGTGGATCCTATACCTGAGATGCTGCCAGTCAATGCAAGCCTGACTCATTGGGCCTGTTTAAATATTTCTTTTAGGATTAGATGAATCATACTGCAGACTTCTCTCTGTCAATTATAAAGAGTTCTTGAGGTGGCTTGTTCAGATGTACTACAGGCATGTGAGGTAGGACTGATGTGACTAATTGTTTGCTGGATCTGACAAGCAGCTGATGTGAATGTCTGCATCTGAAGAAGTCATCTCAGCTGCCTTTATGCTCAGAAAAAAGCTATCAGGACAGTCACTGCAATTTCAGTCTCACTGGTTGAGACAAATCCAACAGTTGCTAATGCAGCCATGCAAACTGCAGCCCTGAGATGTAACTCACCCTAATCTCTGAGAGCACTTCCTGAATCAGTGAAGAGAGATGTGCCTTTCAAAGGCTATCGCAGCAAAAGGCAGTAATTTAGGTCTGAGTCCCGCTGAAGGAACCCCGTCCTTTTAGCTGTGATCATTTTCTAAAGTTGAGGGATATGGAAATTCCTCGTCTCTCTGTGGCCAAAATCTCAGCTTACCCTCTCTTTGTGTGCCAGCTGTTCATTCCCTCTGAACTACACACAAAGACATAAATACCTGTACATGAGACTGACCAAAGGTCAGGTTTGTCCTTGAACTTCCCCAGGTTTAGAGAGCTTTCCCCCTTATCCTAAGTGGCTACTGAAAACAAAAGAATAGATTCTCAACTGATGCTCTTCTTGGGTGCTTCAAGTCTCACAGTGATTATCCCAAAATTCCCCTGAAGCACAGAAGTGCTATTGTATCTGCTCATGTGCTGATTATAATCGACGGGAATGAGCTGCTCAATAGCACTGTGTGGAGAGTCTCAAGTCCTTGCCAAAGATGGCCCAAGGAGCCTGTGCTATGGCAGGGAAAAGAAAAGAGGGTGAGATTCAGTTCCAGTTTAGCCATTCACAATGCAAGTACCTATGTCTGAACTTAGTTTTTAGGCTCATTGCACTCAATGGAGACCAGGTCAAGCGTGACAGCAGAGATTGGGGTATGATACATCTGGCCAGACGCAGACATCCTCTTTAGAATAACTTGAACTATGTGTTATGCTCCATTAACAATACTGATCGCAATGACAAGGTGCAGGCAGTCTTGGAAAGCTCCTCTGCAGGGGTTCCTATAACGCCGTATCTGTATCAGTAAGTGGCACTTCACCTCTGTGAAGTGCTCTGAGCAGCATTAGAAGAATGCAGTGTGACATTTGTATGCAGCATTGAACACCATCACCTCACATCCACGTCCCACAGTATTTACAAAATAGGATACATAGGATTATGTCCATTTAACAAGTAGGGAAATGGGAGTGTGGAGTGGTTACCTGTCTCACCTGATTCCCCACAGGTCAAAGCCCTTAGAAATGCTGGGACTATGGTTCTTGGGGATTTATGGAATGATTAGCCAAAGCTGTTTGCTCTCAAGTGCTATGTACAGTCGAGACTCCTATAGGCAGAGGAATGAAAGTAAGAGTCATAAATCCACAGCCCTGTAGGATGTGACTTCCATGTTGATTTGGCTTTACTTTTACAGCTTTCCTGTGAGTGCATTTGAATAGACAAGGCACAAGACTGTCCTACTGAGGCAGGGAAGTGCTGTCTTATAGGGCAGATTTCTATAAAATAGAATAGTTAAAGGGCCTGGAATGTTACACAAACTCACCAGCAAAAGCCTTGACCAAGGAGCTGATTGACAGACATTACAATCGTAGCATCATAGAATGGTTAGGGATGGAATGGACCTTAGGATTACCTCGTTCCAACTCCCAAATTACTCAGTTTCAGGCAAGAATTGATGCTGCATCATGGCTTCTCTGACCATGCCAATTCCAATCCATCCATCCTGATGGAAACAGAGTGAGGGGTCCCAGCCAGTTCATTGAAATCACTTAAGGACACTAGTGTTGGATATTAAAGGGGGGCTATAAAATGATTACCCAGAGCTTGAACAGTTTTTTCTATCATCTGTGTATAGTTCAGCTTTCTCCTGGCACAGAAAAGCCATAAATCAATAGCTCTACAAGATTTCACCTCCATCCTCATTTGGTTTTACTCTTATAGGTGCCCTTTGGTCTGATGAATCAACAGACGTAATACGTTTCTAATACACAGTGCATCAGATTTGCTTGTATTGGCCTCACTGGATTTTCCATCTGTCTCCTATCACTTCCATAATTCTATTTACTGCCAGTGCGTGGGAAATGCCCAGAATTCATAGAAACAGTTCACTTATATTTTCTGATCTGAGGATTTCACATTACACCTTAGCTGCTGAAAAGCAAGCATTAGCATCAGTCAGGCTGCCTGGCTATGTCACATCAGGGTTAGTGTAAGTCAGTCTCACTCTGGAAACAGAAGCTCTCTCCTTGTAGCTACTGCACCAATACATCTGTGGCTGTGGCGTTTGGACTTAACTTCTTGTTTCTCTGCCATAAGTACGTTGATGGGTGAGCATGACCACACCAGCATGAGTTCCAGCCCTAGCATTTCTGTGGACTCTGAGCATCTGAAATCAGCTAAGTTAGGTAGACACTCCGTGCCTCAGTTTCCCCACTCATTAAATGGGCAGAATCACATGTATCCAGTTTTATAAACACTGTGGAATGTAGATGAGATCATGTGGATCCCATTGCATTCATCTATCACTCCTCAAAACACTCTTTGGAGGTGAGAAGTGTCACCCCCTGTAACACAGGCAGTGTGAGGAGAGGAGGTTTCCAAGGCTGCCTCACGCAGCCTCAGTGGCACAAATAGAGGGGGAAGTTCTCCCATCTTCTTCATAGCCACTCATCTCCCATCTCCAGGACTGAGATTAAAACCAAAAGAATGGTCTGATTGATAGAAAAGGTCCAAAATAACTATTTTTTACCCTGGGATAATAGAAGTCAGGCCTGGAATGCAGGTTATCATCTAATTCATCCTATGTTCCCTGACCAAATCCCATCCTACTTGGTTTTATGTCATGATCAGCAGACATTCCAGACCTCCAGTAATGGAAACTCAACACCTGCCCTTGCCAGTCCTTTCCAGAGCTTCTCTTTTTCTCTGTCTGACATTTTTAATGTTTAAGTCACGTTTTTCTGTCTAGATTATAAACCCCTGACTTGTTCTTTCTGTTAGTGACACAGAAAGCACAGTATTCTTTTCCTCCTTTCTTCGAGACGTTTGAGCACAGTTACTATGTCTTCCCCCAGGCACCACTGATATCTGGATCACAATTACTCTCCTCTGTTTGTTGGCCCAGTGCTTTTCAAACAAGTGACTGAGAAAGGAAAACCCGTGAGATATTGCAGAGTACAGAGCATGGATGAGTTGCAAGGATCTGTGATGGTCTGTGTTCACTCCAAGGTAGTAAATAGGGCCTTTAGACAAACTGCCCATCAAATTCAGCTAAAGAAGTAAACAGAGCAGGAAAAAGCATTTTTCCAGATGAAACTGTATAAACAGTTATATCTAAATGATTTTAGAGACTGGTGAAGTCGGCATTAGAGCTCAGACGCAAAGGTCATCCTCTGCTAACGTAGAAACTTCTAGACATCTCTGATAAGAGATAAAAACCCTTCTGAGAGCTATGACTTTGAAAAGAAACAGTCATTCTCAAGCAGCCTAGTGCCTCTTTGCCCAAGTCCATGCCTAGCTCTCACGCTACTGTCTTGGAGGGAAAGGATGAGAACAGTCCTCCCTCAGGATGCTGGGGTACATCATGCAGGAACCATCTCTGTTCTGAGGTCACCAGAGAAGGATCGTTGACCTCTGTGTTGGGGTTTGTATGTGACACAAGACAGCACCTGCACATGCCAAAAGATCGTTTTCCAAAACTCACATGCCTCATATCTTCCTTTGGGAAAAATACAACTCCCAGATGGAGCTGTGTGCACAGGAATCACTGACAAAGGAAATATCCTGGCAAGACCTCTCATCACATTGTCCCTGCTCCTTATCCAGCAATGACATATGCAGGACTTTCCAAGAGCCTCTATCTATAGCAAAGCACAGCTTTTCTTTAATAAATCACTGGAAGTTTGTGGAACCAGGTCCAGTCTTTGTATCTTGGGCCCCTAAAGCAAAAAACAGGGAGAATTGGACTCTTTTACTGCTTCTGCTCCCACCGCTGTGATTTCTGTGCTGTTTTATAAATGAAAAGTGTCCTTCACTCTTTCTCATCAAGGGACATCTTTTGTCCATAGATCTTTAAGTTTTACACCTTCTATTCATCACAACGGATACTAGCAGTTTGGCAGGAGTCAAAAGTGCAAATCCTGAATGACCATTAAACAGAGAAACTGATTTTTTACCACTATTCTTCCTGCATGGTGAGCATGGATAGCATGTAGAAAGCACCACAAATGTAAGAGGATTGGTCCATAAAATAAAGGCAGATCAGCCATTCCCCCTCCTTTGGTCATCTGAGCTATTGTTACAAATGTTTTCATTAGGTTTGCTAGCAGCTTTTGTTGCCACAAGTTGGCATTTCAGTGATGAACAGTTATTGCTTGTGCTAATCACATAGAGATGCGGATGACTCCAAAGCCAAACATGTTTCATTTTCAACTTACTTTACCTATTCTACACCGGATCCTCAGACTTGTACTCAGAAAAAAGAATATAGTTCCTTATTGAGGTCAGCCAGAATCAGAAGTATTTAAATGACTTGGGAAGCTACATCCCATCTTCAGCAATGGTTTCAGGTTGGTGATGCTTTGGCCATGTTACTCGGAATGCCATTTAACCGGTGACTTGATGCCACAATACATTTTTCACCCACCACTCTCCAGGTGTTTTATGAATGCTTACCAAAATCTCACGTTATCATTAACTGGGAGTTATTAACATCTCTGTAGACATCCGAAATCGAGGAAGAGAGTTCTCATGGCATATTCAAGCTCAAACCAGCCAGGCAGAACTATTTTCCAATGACTCCTTAGCGGTCATTGCTTTAAGTCAAGTCGTGACCTCTCTCATTTGTGGCACCACCATGGCAGCATCAGGTCTGACACCCTTTGCTGACCTCTTCCTTAACAGATTGCTACCACTCAAGTGACACTGGAAAGTTTTAAACCCCATGAATCCAAGAAGACACCAGACACTGTCTTTTTGCCTGGTTTACTCCCAGTTACAGACTCTTCCAAGCAGCCACTTTTTAAAGGCAAGACTCACGCTTAAGAGAGGTCTCAATGGATGTGCAGAGCTCATGCTCTGGGGTTTTGAGGTGGTGTAGGAGCAAGAAGGCTTTGCAGCAAGGATCTAATGACTCAGATGTTTTCCTTTTTGGATCAAGCTTGAGAGATGACAGCTCATTGGAATATAGTAGATTTCCAAGTGAAACGCTCCTTGCCTTGGCCTTGCACTTCCTAAAAGTATTCCTGTGGTTTCCATTTGTGTTTAGGAAGGCAGGAAGTTCCTGTTGTCCTCTGAGTGTGATTGATCTTGCTGGCCAGAAAAGGTCACAAGCAATAAATCCTTCCTATCCAAAACAAGCTGTCTTTCCCCATAACCAATATTGGAGCCTTCTGAGACTCTCTGCCAATCCTTTCTTTTCTTTTTCCTTCTTTTTTGTGTATTATCTAGTTGGTGGTTATGTCCTAATTTCCTCCTTTTGCTTTAAATCAGAAAGCTCAGGAAACCTTCTGAATCCATCAATGGTATACGCTCCTCTGAGTGGCACTCATCTGAGTACCAACAAAGACCTGATCGGGCTGACACACAACCCAGTCCTGACTGCCCATGAAGGACCCCAAAGGTTTGGCATTCCTTTTGGCATTTTGATGACTTCCAGAGCAGTGATTTCATCACAGCAAAACAGAGTTCATCAACTGCATAGGGCGATTCCACACAGAAAGGGTCTGTAATTGAATGCTGAGCAAGGAGAAAGCACAGGGAATCTGAGCTTCGGTTGCATTGCCCAATGGGACATCTATTTTATACATACTTTACTGGCTAGAGAGGATTACGGAATCCTAGAGCTTGGGCCCATTTTTATATGAGCTGTTTGAAATCTGAAGCGCAGTGCCAAGAATGATCAGTGCTCACAGACTGCTATTTGGGTAGCAAGTGACCAGAGTTTTCCCTGGATGTCATTTACGTATAGGAGTTTCCACACTGCACTAGACCAACAGTGTGTCTGCTCTGCTCTGCCTGTCTCTAACCTTGATCAATGCCAGATGTTTTGCAGGAAAACATACGCCACAGTGCACTATGATGTTCCCCAATAGGTGAAAAAGGCTTCCTGTCTCTTCTGATGAGGAACAGAGCACGTTTATCACACAGTACATGCATGTACAAGCAAAGACTAATTAGCTGCCTAAGGCTTGACCTGAAGCTGGTCCAAGTCACTGAGAGCCTTGATTTCACTGTGATTTGGATGAAACCAGGAGGATCACACTGAGCAATCAACCAGTTCAACTCCATTGCATATGCTTCAGGATCTTCAGCTGGCAGACAAACAGCTCCACTCATTTTGCTGGCATTATGTCACTTAGAGTAACCCACAAGACTACATCCTGCTTCCAGGTCAGACTCACCCCTTTGGTGAGGGCTTTTTGTTGACATGGAGCAATCACAGTATCCTGTGCTGCTCGCTGTCAGTTTACACTTGGAAAACTACCTTTACACTGTCTGAACAGTGAGCAAGGATGGTTAAGGGTAAGAGCAGATATTCATACTGCGCTTGGTGTTTTGGCAAAACATGGATTTTCCTCCTGGAATTTCCCATGTTCTAAAATGCAGGATTTCCTATCTGCCTTGGCATGGAGGGATGGAAAAAATTCACTTAAAATAAGCATTTCTCAGGAGATGTGGAGCCAGGGAAGAGCCTGCTCTAATGCTGAGCCCAAGGCTTGAAGGCCCAGTTCAAAGCTTGTAAAGACAACAGCAAAAGAAAGTCCTGTTGAGTGGAATGGGATCAGCCCTATATTCATTAAGCATCAAAGTTCTCACAGATACCACAGGAACTCAGTCATCTACAGAAAACAGAAAAAAAGCCATCAGCCTTGATGTAAGACTGAATTCCCATCACTGGACCTCAGAGTTCATAATCCCCAAATCCCTTCCTCATTATATCCATCCTACCAGCTTTTGGGAACCTGGAGATTGCCCTGCCAGTGAATAAGAGCTCTCTATATAGGAACTGCTGATGGCCTGCAATACTTCGACACTCTTGTCACTCAAATGAAGCCACCTCTGGGGTGGAATACACTTGTCATGCAAGGAGTGCAGCAAGAGTTAAGAGAGAATGTAAAAAATGCATCTTCTAAATAAAGTCATAGTTGGGATTTGCCAGAACAATTTATGCCTAATGAGCTCTTGCATTCATTTTGCTTGTTGTCTTCCTTTAGTTTCTAACACCGTTTGATCTTGGACAATGCTGCTTTGATACAATGGTGGGGTTTTGTCTAATGCCTCATTTGGAGCAGAGGAAAAGTGAATCATAGAATCACAGAATGGTTTGGGTTGGAAAGGACCTTAAGAACCTTAAGTTCCAGCCCCCTGCCATGGGCAGGGACGCCTCACACTAAACCATGGCACCCAAGGCTCTGTCCAACCTGGCCTTGAACACTGCCAGGGATGGAGCATTCACAGCTTCTCTGGGCACCCTGTGCCAGGGCCTCAGCACCCTCACAGTAAAGAACTTCTTCCTTATCTCCAACCTGAACTTCCCCTGTTTCAGTTTGAACCCATCACCCCTGTTCCTGTCACCACAGGCCCTGATGAAGAGTCCCTCCCCAGCATCCTTGTAGCCCCCTTCAGATATTGGAAGGTAACAGCAGTCTACACAGTTATCCAAGACTGCCTTGGAGAACTCCCAGCACCTCCAGTCCAGATCCCAAGTGACTGAGGCCCCATTTACGAGGGTCATAAAATCTCTCCTTACCTTCAACTTTCCCATTGCCTTTGTGCTTGCTGTTCCGCAGGGGAGGCACTTCCAGTGAGACTATTCCTGACTTCTCCAGGATGTTCACCTCCACTCGTAACCTCCCTACCAGCTGCTGGGGCCGGATGCTGACCGTGTACTCATATTTCCCCAGTCTCCTTTGCAAAAGCTCTTCATAATGCAGTAGGAACTTGGCCTGCATCTTGCGAGGAATGAAGACAGAAGCTTTGAATGTCTCATAGCCATTCTCCCTGGAAGGAAAATCCAAAGACACCTTCACACCCCATCCACATCACACACCACCTGCTCCAGTGAAGGATGAATCTGGATTTGGTTGGTGCAATGACAGTATTTCCTACCATTGAATATGTGAAGCCAGCAAGAAAGAAAACATCGCAATGCTTCACAAAGCATTGGGCACATAGAAGTTTCCAGAGGAGAAAAGGTCCTAAAAGGTGGGATGACTCCTTGAGGAGAGGAATATGACAGACATACATAACATGGAGCAGGGCCAGAGGAAAGGCTGTCTCTTGGTTTCTTACACAGAGGATTTCAAGACCTATGTTGAATTCTTGACTTTGCCACTGCTGACTCATTGCAATATCTTAAACAAAGGACAAATGAATTTCTCTTCCCTAATATTAGCTGCTTATAGCTATATACTCAAGGGGGAGAAATGGGAATTCCCATAAGGGAATTCCACCCCTGGACACTTCTCTAAAAGGACTCTTCCTATTGACCACAAGGTGCCATCAGTCACCCAGCATACAATTGCAGTCTGCTTTCTGTTTGCTAATTCAAAGTGAGATTAATTCCCACCTCTAGTGGCTTCAGCTGCCCTCCTGTTCAATGGAGGTAACTGAAGTTGCTCTACCTCCCATACAGACACTGCAGTGTCCAACTCGCAGGCGTTGATACGATGCCAGGCACTACTGTCTGTGAAGGGAAAATCAGCCACGTAACAAGAATGGAGGCTTTTAATGCCACATGGGGGTAACTTCAGACCTCACTGGTGTGAGGTTTTGGCGATGCCCACAGTTTGGTATTGAAAAGTCTCAAGTCTGGGACTAAGCCTGGATGCAGCCGCATCCAGAGAAGGAATTTAGAAAGCAAAGGTGCCCTTTCCGAATCTCAGGACTCAATGGGAGGGTCTCCTTGATGGTTTTGTCTGACCCTGTTCTGTATGCAGTGTACCTGGCCATCTTGTTAAACCACTTGCATTTACCACTGAACTTCAAGTCACTACTTTATATCAACATAGAATATTGTTGCTTCTCTCTTATGTAAGACTATATCCACGACAGTGCCTTAATTTCCTGCCTGTTATTCAGGAAGTAACAAGTTTTCTTTCCCTCTGTAGTACATCCTGGAGCATCTTGGAAGTGAAAATCTTATGTAACAGGGTTATGGAAGACCACATGCCGTTTTACATGATGTGGAAAATGGAAATGACACCAGGCAGTGCAGTTAATGTCCTATTTAACTGCTTCTCCCTATAAATCCATGGATGGGTGTGCCAAACCAACATGAAGATGAGAGGAGAGCGTGTCACTTCCCAGGGCACAGCTAAAGGCACGCTTACCTTCCTTCTGTGGAGTTCAGAGCTTTCCTGGGCCGTGCTTTGTCATCACTGCTGTGTTTCTTTTCTTTGCCTGTGACCTCCCCATAATAAGTCCTGTTGCCAATGATCCTGGAGAGACCAGAGATGTCAGCGTCATCCCTGCACCGACACACACACCACCTGCACAGCCTGTTTGACAAGGGTTCACGGACCGTGCACCTGTACTCCTGCACATTTTCCACCCAGCGGTCAGCGTTACTTACTTACATGGTAAAGTTGGAGATGAAAGCCGGGGCAGGGATCTGCATCTCAAACACAGCCTCTCGTGCCTCAGATCCGCTGTTCACCATGGTGCAGGACACCGTGGTGAAAGCATAGCGAGAAATGATTGTGGATTTCACACTGAACTCAGACATCCGAGGCCTGGTTTCCTGTTGGTGTTGAAAGGTTACCCATTAACACTGACAGTCAGATAACTCACCCCATCAGCGCTTTGATGGCTTTAATACTTAATTTCCTCAAGCAAATTATCACCCTGTGAGTATTAGACTCTCCTATAAAACAGTCAACAGCAGGCAATGTGGGCTTGCCCCCAGTATTTCAGGTGAGCTGCAAAAGGTAAGCCAAGAAAATGGCATTTCCTTTTCCATGCACAAGAGCAAAGGCCGCAGTCATTTTCCAGTGCTTGGGAAGGGTCCAGGAAGAAAGAGAGCTCTAATTATGCCAGCCTTTAGATGGGAAACACACTGACAAAATCCACTTGTATCCTAAATGACAGCCTTCAACTCTAACCATGTGAGAGGATCTCGATGAGTCCTTTATGGCCTGGGAAAAGAAGCCTAAAACGGGTCCCCACACAGCCCAGAGCCATGTGTAATGGGCACAAGAGCAGACGTAAGAGCTCTTGAAAAACTGGGATCGCTATGAAGCAGCACCTTCAAATTCACACAGTCAGATCCATAAGCAATGTAGACTACTGTCAGTGGAGTCAACTGAGTCCTCCTCTGCTGAGAATCCACCCTGGAGGTCTCAGCCAACGGATGGAAGAGGCTTAATAGGAAACACTGACACCATGATGTCTCAAGCAAAGCATTTTAAGCCTTCTAGCCCACACTGGATTCCTTCCAGCAGAGAAGCAGCAGAGACTGCAGTGAATGACACATAACGTAGCAATGGAAGCTGGAAGCCAATTTCTGCTTCTTGGGAATGTGTTTTTGTGCGCAAGGCCTGGGTCGGAGCATTTCTTCGGTCTCATGTGTTTTATGGACAGCAGTGTCTCCATGGAGCTCAGCACCTTTCTTCCTGGAAGACTTCAGTGTATTTAACTGCAAGCAACCCATGGAGAAAATCCCGGTGTTGCTTTAAACAGTCAGAGACCAAACCCTCAAAAGCAGAAGGAAACTAAACAGTAAAACACATTGCAAATACAGAGCAACTTCACTGCACCAAATACAGTGAGACTTTTCCTGCTGAGGATACACCTCGGTCAGAGAGCCCCTGCTCGCACCCATACAAGAGCTCTGGAGTCAGAGCATGCTCTTCAGCTGCATTTCCAGGCTTTTTTCTTCAGAGCAAGAACCATTTGACAAATGGCTTAACGAGTGTCTGTGTGAGCAGGAAACAAGAACATTTCTGTAGTAGCTGATGGCACCAGCAGCAGTGCTACTACTGAGCATCCAGCAGTCCAAGCTGCTGGGCTAATGAATTCCAGGCGAGTGGAAGAATGAGGATTCGCTGGAAACAAACATAAAGCTGTCAACAGACTTGGAATAAAGCCCCACCTGCCCACACTATCAAGGCCTGGAAAAACTCTGGTAAATGCGTCTCAGGTGAACCTCATCATGATATCTTTAACAGCTGGACAGCATGTGACGTGCCTTGTGTCCACTATCATTCTGCTCAGCACAGGCTCAGCTCACATGGAGCACAATGGCAAAGACTTCTAGGGTGTGATTTGTCTCACTGCCATCAGACAGCCCAGTGCAATGGACCTAGACTAGAACACATCTGCCTAGATCTCCCCCTTAGCCTACGAGTGGCTTCTACTCAGTCACTGTTGATTACCATTAGATCCTGCTGTTCTCAGGACTTTCCCTGGTACATAGGCATGGCTTCCCAGTCCCATTATCCTGGGAATGGAAAGGATGGGGAGTTTTGATCTGAAGTAGTGTTTGTAGGAGTGTTTCCAGATGTAATGAGTTGATGTTTCATCCCGTCCTCCATACCACTGATTGCCTGTGCCATAGCAAGAGGTGCAGAGGATTAATGAAAGACGTAGAAGAATCTAAAATAAACCACAGCAAATTCTTTTGTTCCAGATTTTCTGCATCCACTCCCATGTTGCATTTTATCATAAGCTATGGCAGCTCACCAGCAAAAGAGGATCAAGCCCTTTGCCTTTTACTTGAGATACAAGCGGTTCTGTAGCGACAGATCCAACTCTGTGAATTCAGTGATGGATTCATCTGAAGTTATGTCCTGGGTTCAGCAGTAGCAGTCATTTTTCCCCTTCTTGGTAGCTGGTGCAGTGCAGTGTTTTGACTTTCAGCTCGGGAACAGAGCTGATAACAAGCGATGTTTTGGTTTGGCCAAGGACTTTGTGAGCCTCATGCTCTGCCAGGGAGGAGGGGGAGCCAGGAGGAAGCAGAGACAGGACACCTGACCCAAACTGACCAAAGAAGTATTCCATACCACAGCACGTCATGCCCAGGAGGTAACTGGGAGTTAGCCGGAAGGGCCGGGAGACTGCAGGGTTGGAGGAGGTATCGGTCGGAGCTTGGTCGGGCTGGGGGGGGGCGAGTTATTGGTCGGCTGCTGGTGAGATGATGTATTCTCTTCCCTTGTTATTTCCTTTATCATTATTATCATTGGTGGTAGCAGTAGTGATTTGTGTTATACCTTAGTTACTAAACTGTTCTTATCTCAACCCGTGGAAGTTGCATTCTTTTCGATTCTCCTCTCCGTCCCTCCGAGAGCAGGGGGAGGGCAAGAAAAGGGGGGGAAGTGAGCGAACGAGTTACCTGACTGGGTTTAAACCACGACAGTTCTTTTTGGCGCCCAACGTGGGGCACGAAGGGTTGAGATAAGAACAGATCTGACTGGATTGATAGTCACTCGTCACAATGCTGATTTATTGGCTCTCAAGGTTGTTCCTCTTGATCTCACAGTTTCAGTATATGATATCTTACGTCCATCCGGTACTTGCTGTATTAGTGTTTTTCAAGTATGGGGCTTGGGCTAAGGTTTTTATCCCATTGTACTTTATGGTAATGACTTGTAATACAATAGAATCATTGATCATGAAATTGATCTGGCTTATGTTCCCAGTGTGGTCACCACCTTTATACTTTGGGAGGTATATGATGGAGGTGCTTAGCAATTACACATCTTTTTTCTCCTTCTCAGGTGCTCAACCTGGGAAGGAGACATCCTTTTACCCTCCTAGTCGTCCCCCCAGACCATTTACATTTGAGAGTTTTGAATTTTTTGAATGGCCTTTTAATGCTGTTGAGACTTGTTTGCTGATGGTGATGGGAATCACCATGCTAACACGCATACAGAGTGTGTTTTACCCACTACTGATTTCAAGAGTTAAGCAGATTCAGGTTTGGGTCTTGTCTGGGGTCAAACGACGATGTAGGAGGACAGAGATTTTCCCTGAGGCTGGACAGCCATGAGTGGCAGGGTGTGTGGGACAGTATGGGCAAGTATCTAGTCCACTGGGCCCCTCCAGTGCTTTGGAAGCATTGGAGATGGAAGGCAGCTGTATGGAGTCCCCAGCAACAAGCTGCAGAAACTGCTGAAGGGGACAGTGAATTATTTTGAGCCTGGTGGGCCCAATGCACTTCAGGCCATCAGAGCAGAGATGCAACACAGAGATGGACTCATGATCGAGGGGTGGACTTAGCAATGGACACTATTGCCCAGGTTATTCACGAGTGTGAACACTGCACACAGTCTCTCCTGCTCTGGAAGACTGTTACAAGAGATGGAGCCTGACATCATGGACCAGATGGACTCAGCAGCTTTATAGGGACTGGTCCATGCACTAAGATAAGAGTGCACTGAGATAAGAGTGATGGTATATTGAAAATGTGGGATCTGAGCATGACGTGAATGGTATGGAATAAGGGGTGGATAATGTCCTGGGTTCAGCAGTAGCAGTCATTTTTCCCCTTCTTGGTAGCTGGTGCAGTGCAATGTTTTGACTTTCAGCTCGGGAACAGAGCTGATAACAAGCGATGTTTTGGTTTGGCCAAGGACTTTGTGAGCCTCATGCTCTGCCAGGGAGGAGGGGGAGCCAGGAGGAAGCAGAGACAGGACACCTGACCCAAACTGACCAAAGAGGTATTCCATACCACAGCACGTCATGCCCAGGAGGTAACTGGGAGTTAGCCGGAAGGGCTGGGAGACTGCAGGGTTGGAGGAGGTATCGGTCAGAGCTTGGTTGGGCTGGGGGGGGGCGAGTTATCGGTCGGCTGCTGGTGAGATGATGTATTCTCTTCCCTTGTTATTTCCTTTATCATTATTATCATTGGTGGTAGCAGTAGTGATTTGTGTTATACCTTAGTTACTAAACTGTTCTTATCTCAACCCGTGGAAGTTGCATTCTTTTCGATTCTCCTCTCCGTCCCTCCGAGAGCAGGGGGAGGGCAAGAAAAGGGGGGGAAGTGAGCGAACGAGTTACCTGACTGGGTTTAAACCACGACAAGTTAGAACATGACAGAGGACATGGACTTGCCCACGTTACAGCAGGAACACAAGAACTGTTGTATTGGGTGAGAACAAAAGCAATTCTAACCCTGTAGCCTGTCACTGGCAGAGATCAATAGGACATGCTTAGAGTGTAAAATCAGTCCAACCTGCACTGATACCACCCAAAAATAATCTCCGTTTCAGTAATTTGTGGCTGAAGGGACTCATGAGCCAAGGGTGCTATTTCTGTGCTTAGCAGACCCCTGTAGATTTTTATTCGATGGCTTTGCACAGCTGCTTTTTGAATCCATGTCAACCTTTAGCTCCCGCAGCATCTTGTACCAAGGAGTTCCACAGCTTAGTGATATTTTATATGAAGAACCACATCACTTAGGGTCTTAGGACAGGGGGTAATGGATTTAAACTTATACAGGGGAAGTTTAGGTTAGATATAATGAAGAAGTTCTTTATTGTGAGGGTGCTGAGGCACTGCTACAGGGTGTCCAGAGAAGTGGTGAATGCTCCATCCTTGGCAGTGTTCAAGGCCAGGCTGGACAGAGCCTTGGGTGCCATGGTTTAGTGTGAGGTGTCCCTGCCCATGGCAGGGGGGTTGAAACTGCATGATTTTAAGGTCCTTTGCAGCCCTATCTATTCTATGATCCTATGATTCTGTTGAATCTGAATGTGCTATTTGCTGATCTCTGTCATACCTCTCTGTAAAACTCAACAAGCTCCACTTCTGACACCCTCACAGACTGAGGGCATCACAAAGAAGGTAGCAAAAGAAAATGAACGAAAAAGCATTCAACACCTCTCCCTCTTCCTGGTGGGTAAGAGTTGCTGCTGGGGAAAGCAAACCCTGCGTAAGGACATCACATACAACTGAGGATGAAAGAGCTGATTCATCTTCCTATCCCTGGCAGGGATCTGCCATTCCTTGTGCATAGCAAACACAAACAGTGGGAGCAGAAGCAGTTTCCAAACAGGTTGCTCGGTCAGGCTTGGCGGGCAGCCCAAGCTCCTGTCCACGATTCTTGTGCTTTCTCCAGAGCTCTTACACAACCCGTCAGTGCCTGATGCTCTGACTTACAGCTGCGCAAATGCCTCTTTGTTTTGTCCACTTTTTATTAAGGCCTTCAGAAGATGAGAGGCGGCGCAAAGGAAAAAACAGAACAAGCCATTTGTTTCGTATTATTATTGCCGTGATTTATTATCCCCATTAAAAATAAAGCTGGGGACTGCCAGGGCAGCAGATTAGCACACTGCTATGAGGCAGGTTGGCTGGGTGCTTATTATGATGAACTGAGCTGAGATTTTCTCGCCAAACACATTGTTTTATGCTTGTTTACATCAAATGTTTGGAAAGACAGGAAAGAGCTGACGGAAAATTAAATCTATTCCACATTTCTATCTTTATCAGTCAAATCGACCGTGTCTCAGATTGGAAGTAATAAACTGGTAATAAGTGTGAGAGCTGTTCTCTTCTAGGCTGCTGATTCAACCCTCTCAAAGATCAAAGGGACCAGAAGCTATAAACGTGTGATGGTTGCTGAGCGCATGAAATGAGTTCCTCCAGTTCTCAACTGGGAAGCCCTCATCCCTCAGAAAAGCCAGAACATGCCTATGGCCATGGACAGCAATTTCACTGGCTGCCTTCTTAGGCAAAGATTTGTTCTAAGCTGTGCAGCTCTTGGTGCAGCAATTCAGCCACCTCTCACAGATTTGCTGCACATCAAAGCCTAGGTTCCCATGCTGAAAGAGAGATGTTGGATTCCTTATCTTCTTCCTTTCTTCAGTAAATTTCAGACAGAGACCTTCAAATCTCAAAGCAACTCTTAAAATTCAATGAGATTTTGTCAGGCTTATATTCCTTGCATGGTTAAGGTTTGGAACATTATATATTCTCTCTCCAAATCTGGGCTCAAGAAGATGAATTAGAAAATAGTAGAAGAACCTGTACATGTTGCCAGGATCAGAATGATTCACCTGCCATCATTGACATAGTTCATTTCTGGGCACAGGCATGCACACGCATACAGACATAGAGCAAACGTCATTCCCAGGAGATGAAATGAAGACACAGTGTGGTACCTACCAGCCTCTGCAGGAACTTGGCCTGTCGTGGGACACGGCGTGCGACCTGCAAAGAGTTAAGGCAGTCAATGGAGCCTAGTCAGCTTAGAGAAGACATGTCACTTGCTTAAATCCAGACATGGGCTTGTGTGACTGATCACCCACGGCCACGTTCACATGTTGCTCTGGTTAAAGTTAAAACCTAAATCACTTCTATATTAACAGACCCACTGATCAAAGCTCAGCAGTGGAACGAGGCTCTCGCAGGTGAGGTGGTACTTTGTGTTTTGCAAATGCTACTTGTAAAGGGACCTTCTATATAAAGACAGGAATCTCAGCCCTCGCCTTGGATGCTCTTGGCCCTGGAAGGGTATTCCCTTGTAGCTTCCTATGGAGCCGTACAAAAGCTCTGTGCGTATCACTGCTTTTGCCCCATAGCATGTTATATGGGACAGGATGGGAAGGGCTGCTAGGTGGTCCACAATGCTCATGAAATGCTTGAGCAGTGACCAGGTTAACACCTAGCACCCATGTGGTGGGGTCTAGCAAGTGTAACTCCATTCTACTGCACCTGTGACCTGATCCAAGGGAGGACTTGTGTAAACTGATGTTATAGCTTCAGTTTTATTGATATTACCTCAATAGCAGTTTTGAATTGCCTCAAAACTCTCCACAGGTACTACAGGTTTATTGTGTGGTGACAGAAAAGAACTAGTTATGTTCTGAAAGGGAATAAAGACATTTATACCCAGCCACAGATTTTAGTATGAAACAAAGTGCTTCACCTATGACAACGCAATAGTCCTCATTGTATCGCCCTTCACAACAACAGCAATGCCTCTGACTTCTTCCGTGCACATGGAGCTTAGAAACGTCTCCAAATCAAATCCCTCCCCAAAACAGTTCCAAGTATCTTGTCAATGCAGGACGCCAAGAGACTTCTTCAACCAGAGAGCAGAGGAATGCAACGATATTTTTTACCTGATTTGCCCTTTCTGTTGATTTACACTGAAATAACAGCGGGCCTTGCCAAAGAGGTGATTTTGTCTGTTTATATCATGCGCTGAAAAGCTCAGGAATGCCCAATGGGAAATTAAAGTCTTTTCCAGCAGAACCGTTATTATTTCCTTCTGCGTTCTTTTAGCCAACATCTTGTAAAATTAGAACCAAAAGAAAACAGTTCCCTTGGGAAACTTGTGGGGAAAAGGAGGAGGAGGAGGAGAAAAGAGAAGAGAAAGAAGAGAAAGGAGAAGAGAGAAGAGAGAAGAGAGAAGAGAGAAGAGAGAAGAGAGAAGAGAGAGAGAAGAGAAGAGAAGAGAAGAGAAGAGAAGAGAGAGGAGAGGAGAGAGAGAGAGGAGAGAAGAGAAGAGAAGAGAAGAGAAGAGAAGAGAAGAGAAGAGAAGAGAAGAGGAAGAGAAGAGAAGGAGACAAGAGGAATTCTGTGCAGTTTAAATTTAGGATGAAACTTTCTGTCTGAACGTTATCTCAAGCACAGCACCTCAGGAGCCTGCTGTGAGAGGCTGCAGAGTCTCTATCATTGCAGGCTCTTCAGAGCAAGCCAGAAAACCACCTGTGAAGTTGGTCCTGCTTGGAGGGGATGCAGGGGTGAGAGATCAAGGATCCTTAGTGTTTTTTTTTACTAAAGGATAACTTTTTGGAACAAATCCGTCTGTCATCATCCTGTATGGAACGGTCACAGTGGCTTTTACGACTAATTGGTAAAGCTGGAAACTTGGTTACTGGTTTTATCTTTCCCCACCACACACCCATTTTGTTTGCTTGCTTATCCACATAAGAAAGCTTTGTATTACTTGGCTCCTTCAGAAGCTACCTTCTAAAGTCAGGATGGTAACCAGTAAACACCAGTGAGTGGCTAAGGATCACCAGATAACAGTATTCCGTTTGCTGGGACTTCAGGACTGCTGCCAAAGCACTGCTGCAGGGTTTGTGATACCGATGAGTCCATCAAACTCTTTTGAATAAGCCAAATTCACTAGCATCACCTAATGGAGCAGTTTCTGAGCTAACACCAAACTTTAGCTTTAAAGCCAACCAAAGCACTCCTTAAAGCCCAATAATTAATTGCTGGTAGTGACCCCATAGTTGTTGCTGTCTGCTGCTCAGCATGGTCTACAGAGAATAACTTGGGCTGTAGGAACTCAATTACCTGTGCAGAGCAGTCCAGAAAACTACCTCTAGTGCAGCAGTAATAGCTAGCAACCCTACCAACTGCCTTAGCAGAGTGGTCAATCACTGGATAAGACAACAGGCAATCCACACGCGTTGCACATACCACGATCCTGCAAAGGCCTGTGTACGTACTTGTCTGTGTAGCAAGATCCCCCCAGGATGTTAAATGCAGCCTTATACATTCCCCCGAATTCATTGGAGCTTTGTCTATAGGGAATATCTTGAGCTAGGGAAGCACCTGCCTCTTCTTAACCTGGTTCATGTGTTCAGTGAAGACAGACAGATATCCTCTTCTGGATCTTGCTGTTCCAAGGGAGCAGGTCAGCACCTCCATTTATATATATATATATATATATATACACATTGGACTCTTCACTAGGGACTGCAGTGACAGGACAAGGGGTAACGGGTTCAAACTGAAACAGGGGAAGTTTAGATTGGATCTAAGGAGGAAATTCTTTCCTGTTAGGGTGCTGAGGCACTGGAATGGGTTGCCCAGGGAGGTTGTGAATGCTCCATCCCTGGTGGTGTTCAAGGCCCCCTTGGACAGAGCCTTGGGTGCCATGGTTTAGTGTGAGGTGTCCCTGCCCATGGCAGGGGGTTGGAACTGGATGATCTTAAGGTCCTTTCCAACCCAAACCATTCTATGGTTCTATGATTCTGTTGAACCTGAATGTGCTATTCCACATGTGGATGATCTTAAGGTTCTTTCCAACCCTGATTCTATGATTCTATATCACTGCTTTTCTACTGTAAGTTACTTCTGCCACTGATCTGCCAGCAACACAGCTGCTGTGAAAACACCCTCATTTGCCTCAGGCAAGATCAGCCAGGTTATTCCAGCACTGTGAGCCAGCTGCATGAGCTTCATGGCTCATTTTCCCCCTAAAGCAGGTAAGCGAGTGTTTTCAGGTACCACTCCACTGGCAGGCAGTGGTGGAGATACTCTCTCCCACTTGGGCATGTGGATCTGCGAGAACATGTTGGCTTGTGGCTGAATTCCCCAACAAGGAATATGTGTTCATAGCCATCAGGATCAACTATAACGTTGCTGAGGTCTCGTGGTGGAGAAACATGGGTACCTCTGGAGGGAGATTCTTCACATTCTATGGAGGTGGGATGGGTGTCTGAATGACCAGGTACAGATACATATGAAGAGTCTCATTTTTCCTGCTTACTGTATGGCAACAGATACCAAACACGGGCATTCACTGACACTTGATATACAAAGGTATCCCACCTGGCCTCCTGCAAGGTACAGGTCTTCCACAGGTAGACCAGTCCCACCTGAGTGTCTCATACAGGACCTCTCATGTGTGACCAAATTTACACAACTGATGGATGCCCTACGTGACCCAAAGTCACTTGTGGTGTCTGCTACAAACCTGCAGGATGTGAGCACAGATCTGAACCTTGCTTTTTAAATCACAGCCGCCCAAACCCCCACCTAAATTCTCCTGTCAACTTGCAAACTTTGTTGTTCTTTTAGCCCCATTTCCTCAGAAAATTCAATCCACAACACAACACAACCGCCCTCATTTGCAGAATAAAGCTGTTTTCTTTCTCTCCTAGTCAAGAAGCATTTTCCATGCAGAAATTCATGTGTTCCGTTACATCCAGCATGAGTTAAAAATCAACTACTGAGACCATAGGCAGCGAAACTTTCCTCTGAGCCTGAAATACTCTGAATTACTCAGCCTGGCGCATGGCCAGGACACTGCATTAACTCCCTTGTCCCTATGGAACACCTTCCTAGCACGGCTATGGGGATGTCAGCTTGGAACCCACCCTCTAGCACTATTATGGGAGGGTGCGGGTGCTCTCCTAGCTCAGCACTTGCAACTTCATTGCTCCTTGGTATCAGCCTCCCACAGAGCTGAAATGCCACCCGCAGCCCCGGGTACGCTGCGGGGAGAGGTGAATAAATGCTGGTTTAGCAACTGCCCCGCCTGTTGATGCTGATGGCTAAGAGGGGACGAGCCAGCCCCAACACCGGATGCTCCCCTACAACAGCCGCCGTAGCGCTTACTTGCTCCATGATGCTGTAGTCTGCCATCAGCTTCTGCTCCAGGTACCTCGCCATCAGCTCCGAGTCGGGCTGCCCCGCCGAGATGGGGAAGCCGCAGCAGAGCCACAGCCAAAGGATCATGGTGGAGGGGGAGCGCCGGCCGGGGCTCCTGCCCTGCGGGTGCAGGCAAGCCCCGCTGCTGCCTGCGCTGCCGCCGAGGAGCTGACAGGAGGCGGAGGGATCCGGGCCCTGCTCCTCCTCCTTCGGGCTCCGGACCGGCCCCTTTTCCTCTCAGGGCGGCTGCCGGGGGCCGCGGGGATCGCTGCGGGGCATCCAGCCCGCAGCTGCTGCTGCCCGTCCTTCAGGCACCAGCAGCGCCTCAGCCCTGTGGTGCCCCGCAGCATCCCCGCTGAGGAGCGGTGAGGAGATGTGAGCACCGTGCTGGGGCTGAGTCAGGGGCTGAGATGCTGGCGGCCCCATGGCGCCTGCCCGAGGGGCTGGTGACCCTGTGGGAGCTCAAGGGTGTCAGGGCTGCCTCAAGGGGAGCATGGCTCACACCGCAGCCGTGGAATCATGGGATCAGCTGGGTTGGGAGAGGGCTTCAAGCTCATCCAGTCCAACCGTTCCCAGCACTGCCAAGGCCACCACTGCCCCATGGCACTGAGGCCTCGTCTCCACGGGGTGTGAGCACTTGCAGGGACGGTGCCTGCAGCCCTGCCCTGGGCAGCCTGTTCCAATGCCTGAGCACCCTCTGGGGCAGGAATTGTTCCTCAGCTCCATCTAAACCTGCCCTGGGGCAGCTTGAGGCCGTTTCCTCTTGTCCCATCCCTTGTTCCTTGGGAGCAGAGCCCAGCCCCTCCTGGCTCCATCCTCCTGTCAGGCACTTGTAGGGAGCCATCAGGTCCCCCCGAGCCTTCTCTCCAGACTACAATTATTATCCCATATTCAAAAGCACTCTCCTACAACCCCATTGCTCCCACCCCATTATCTCCCGCATCGAGAGCAGATTCTAAGGACAGGCTTCAAGGCTGGGGCTTCACCGAGGAGTGGTAAAGCCCTCTGGTTTCACACACACACACACACACACCCCCAAAGGGACACCTTCTGCTGCTGGGGAAGCCTTGGTTGGTTTGTGCAAGCTCAAGCTCCTCCATCCCGGAGCAGGGCAGGGCTCTCTCCACACCCTCGCCTCGCCTGGTGCCAGCGAACACAGCCAAGACCCACGCTTTCACCCCTCTCTGGTACGGCCCGGACTCCATTTCTCCGTTGGGCAGAGCAGGGGTGACCCTGCTGCTCCTCCCTCCATTCCCCAAAGGCAGAGCCCTTTTCTCCCCGTGCAGGCTGGGTCCCCACCGCTCAGTTGTCAGGGTTGTTCCTCCAGGCTGTGCAAGCTGGCATGGACGTGGCATTTCTCATCCCTGGGCATTTGGGACCTTGTATCTGCTGCACTCACCTAACCCTAAATTAGATGCTAGTGCTTTATTTTGCTCTGCCAACAGTCACTTCCTGAATCCACCAGACCTGACTTCTGCTTTTGTTTGTTTGGGGTTTTCGGTTTTCCTTTGTGCAGGCACACACATGTCAGGATCCAAATCACTGCATTCTCCTTTTCCTTTCCAGCTCTGGGTCATCAGGGACTCAAGCTGCTTTGCTTCAGCTCCAGCCCATGGCAGTGACAATCTAGTGAAGGTTTCAGTGTCTCTTTGGCTTTGCTAATATGGATAAAGACACCCTTGGGTCACTGGGCACCCACCTAAAGAACACGTTCACTGTGTTCACTAAGGGCCTATGTCCTGGGAGCATTATATCCTCCACGTCTACCGTGTGTAATGGAGGAGCAGGAAAGTGCTCACTCCCCATTTAGAAGGGATGAGAGGAGCTGGAGCTGGAGCAAAGAGAAGGGGACAGCAAGGTCAGCGCCTTTGAAACATCCCTTTAGCAAATGGATGGCTCAGATTTAGGCTGAGGCCACACCGTGTTCACACACGACCCCTTCTGGCATTGCCAGCAGTAGGGAAGGAATCAAAAGCCCCAGATCAAAAGCCCCAAATGACTGTAGTGCTGATGTGGTCCCTGCCAGAAGACAGTCAAGGCATTATGTTCAGCCTTTTCAAAGGGAGATGGAAGAGGGCTCAGCCATCCATCTGGGTACCAAGAAAGACTTCAAAGCAATGGTTCAGGCTGAGACCTGGTTTAAGGACACACAGAAAATGGTCTGAAGTGTTTTTAGTCTGGATATAGTTCAGTTCCTGCGTGCCTTGTCCGGCTCAAGACACAAGGGCACAGGAGTAGCACGAGAAGGAAGGCTGCAGCCTCTTGCGCTCCTCAACCTGCTCTGTCCATGTTTCACTAACCAGGGGACACAGATGAGTAAGTGTCAGTGTCAGCATATGCTAAGAAATGCAGGAAACAGGCAAGTAAAACAATCCATGTAGGATGGTTTGCCTTCTGGTTTGGAAAACCTAGAGGAAACCAAAGCCCCCCTGTAACAGCAATGCAAAACTACCCTGCTAACCCTACAGATAACAGCAGTTCCTGGGCAGGAAGGGGGAATGTTTGCCAGCTTGAAATACCCATTAGGCAGTCAAGAAGCATTTGGAAAAGCATCCAGATCTCACTGTCTATCTCTCTTTGCCTCCTGATCAGTATTCAGCTTGTTTCTGCACATGTTTCTCCCATTGCACAGGTGAGGAGCTGGGGGCCAGAGGAAATCAGTGAGACAATACAAAGATACTGCAGCAAAGCTGATCCTAGCACATCTGGTGCTAGGGGGATACGCAGACCAAAGCAGGACCCTGGAGCAGATACAGGATAACCCACAGGCATGAGATAATGAGCTGGGAAAAGCACTGCCCTTCCCAGAGTGATGAGGAGCAGCCAGTTCTGCTCATGCTTTCCTCAGCAAGGGCACCTGAGGACACGGCACGTAGCTAAAGAACACCAAGGTGTGTTTTAATGTGGTTCGGATGCGGTTAGGCTTGGTGGGTGAGCATTAACCCTGGGGTCTCGATTGTTCACGTTATCCTTGGAATAGAGGCTCCTGGTTTTGGGGGCGAACGTGCCAGGCACTGCACTGGAGAACAGGATAAGCAGTAACTCAGGTGTGCTCACATTAGACACGTTCCATGCTGACTTTTGCCGACTCAGCAAGATGAGCAGCTGGGCTTTGGGTGGGAGCTCAGCAAATGCAATTGCCTGGCATGCCTGCGGCCAGCATGAGCAGAGACAACGGAAAGAAGCATGATCTAACAGCTCATGTGAGCTTTCGTGCACATTTCACTTGGAATACATCATGTTCTACCAAGGAATCTCCCTGTGTCAATACACTGACATATCCCCCTTGGTGATGCTCCGCTTTCACACAGTCTGCATCCCCTGTCCTCCATGCAAGGCTCATGGATAGGACCAGTCTTCCTAGGTTTCATCATACCAGTCAAATAAACTCTGTAGGGAGTATTGAAACCAAAGGAAATGTTGGCACCTTCTAGCCCAAGAGCAGTTTTCCAGGCTCCAGACTGAAACTGAGGGAACAAGATCAGAGCCACATTTGATCACTGCATCAGTGCCATGGCTGCGTGGATCCACAAATTAAAGACGTCCAGTTCTCTGTTCTAAGTGGAAGAATGGGATACAAGAGACCCACCTCGTGCAAAGGCATCTACATTAAACGCCTAATGAGAAGGGTCTGAACCAGGAACTAAATCTCCTAATGGAGTGTAGAATTTAATGGCATTGAAAGCCAGCAATTTGATGAAGAAATTGGAAAAAATCCCGAAGGATCATAAAGGCATCAACATAGATAAATATCTAGAGCTAAAATTAAATGCAGTGAAGTGCAGGAAATTACATGAAATACTTTCTTTCAGCTCTTAATCCAATCAACTTCCTGTGAAACCTCCAGATGGGACCGGATGGTCCCCAGTTCTGTCACTATCTGGGAGATGCCCGTGCTCCTGACAGCTCTTTTCTGGGGTCCCAGTGGCTGCCTATCTGCCTGTTGCCATCACCTGTGTGCGCCAGGGCCTTGTAGAGCAGGTCAGAACTTCAGATACCAGTATTTTCTGCTTAAGTAAGCCTGGAGTAATTGCCACAGGGCATTGGTGCGGGGGGTGCCCGGCTCTGTCGGGGGGACTGATGTGAAAGGCACTTTGAAGAGGTCCTCAGGGCAGACAGGCAGGTTGCTGAGTCCTGGTGTCTGGGTTGTCTCTGTTGAATGGTAGTACCAAGAGAAAAGCAGCGTGACCAGCAGGTCCAAGGAGGTGATCCTGCCCCTCAGCTCTGCTCTTGTGAGACCTCACCTGGAGCATTGTGTGCAGTTCTGGTGTCCTCAACATAAAAAGGACATGGAACTGTTGGAACAAGTCCAGAGGAGGCCACGAGGATGATCAGGGACTGGAGCACCTCCTGTATGGAGACAGGCTGAGGAAGTTGGGGCTGTTCAGCCGGGAGAAGAGAAGCTGCGGGGAGACCTCAGAGCAGCTTCCAGTGTCTGAAGGGGGCCTATAGGAATGCTGGAGAGGGGCTCTTCATTAGGGACTGGAGTGACAGGACAAGGGGTAATGGGTTAAAACTGAAACAGGGGAAGTTTAGATTAGATATAAGAAGGAAATTCTTTCCTGTAAGGTCTGTGAGATACTGGAATGGGTTGCCCAGGGAGGTTGTGAATGCTCCATCCCTGGTGGTGTTCAAGGCCAGGTTGGACGAGGCCTTGGGTGAGATGGTTTAGTGTGAGGTGTCCCTGCCCATGGCAGGGGGGTTGGAACTGGATGATCTTAAGGTCCTTTCCAACCCGAACTATTCTATGATTCTAAGAGGAGAAAGTTAAGACACCAAAAAAGCCTTTTCTACATGTCCACATATCGTGTCCCAGAACAGCTTGGGGGGGGGGAGATGAATATCAGGGCATTAGACTCTCTGGGTAAGTGCTGCCTTGCAGGTACACCCTGTTCCCACCAGGATGGCTTGAGATTTGGATGAGGAATTTGAGGTGGGAAGGGGAATCTGCCTATCTCATAAGACACAGAAACTGAGAGCATTTCTTCCTAGGTGCAAACCAAGCTAACACAATGTGATCATTCTGAGGGACACGCTGCCCAGCAGTAACAGCAAGTGCATGGAAACCTCCCTCCAGAGAAGGGCCGACCATGAGAGGACAACTGATGAAACAGCCCAACAGACACCACAAGGCATCTGAGACCATGTCCTCCTCAT